GGAAAAACTCCACCCGCGCATTTTACCCCTCGGGGCGGGGCGCGCAAAAAGGAGGTGTGACAATGAGCATCCAGCTTTCGATCTATATTGTTCTCGAAATTGCTTTTAGAAAACATTTCGAAATCTTTTTCGAAAAATTATTCAAATGTCAAGTCTCGGCCTTGATTCACTGGTAGTTCTTACGCTTTCTTTACATTTAATTTAGTCTGCAGTCAGCACTACATTTGCCTGAAAGTAACATGAGCTACTTACCTACGTGGATTTCTAGGGATGTCCAGTGTCCTTGACATGTTATTTCTAATACTACTTTTCAATGATTTTGCAATTACTTACTTATTTAGGCAAAGATTACTTTTAACTCGTGACTAAGACTTTTTATATCCAACAATCACAAAAGAGTATAACCAAAAAATATATATTTTTTGGCCGATTATTTTGGTTGATTATTTTGAGAGCGACTATACAATATCATTTTCTTATTAAGGCAGTCATTAGCTCTTAAATGGTACATTCAAGTTCTATAAGTTTTCTAAAATATTATAATGCAAGTTGTTCAATCATATTTTGACATTTAAAATGTAGTAACTTGTCTCCATCAATCTCGAACAATTTGTGTATTTATAAATTTTGCCTCCCTATTTGTAAATTAGCGTGTTTATCTTATTCAATTTTCCTCATCTACAAATATTAAACGTTGGAAGGAGGGAGTTTCTTGTGTCAAGAATGTGTTTTCCAGGTTTAAAATAATTCTTTAGTTGCTCATTTAATAATTAGCTATTCCTGATTGTTAATTGGCTAGCTCGTGCAATCACCTTAAATTAGTAGTATACCTGGACCATATAATTTGATGCTTTAAAAGATATAGATCGACCTCAAAAAATAAAACCACTTGAGCACTAAGATAAACTAAATAAATAGTAGCTTGCAACTTTTCAAAGTTTTAGCATTTCACACAACTTGTAATTATTTACAGGGAATGAAAACAAATCCCAAATTCACACCAAGGTGGAACAAATTAAATAAACAATACCAAAAAGCTCCCAAAAATGTACAGAGAGTCTTAGAATAGCTTAAAAGAATTTGAAGACTTGACCGATTTCAAGTCATTGGAGGTCGGAGATGGTTCACCGCCGGCAGGTAAGTCGGCGAGGGCGGCCGCCATCCGGCGAATGCTGACGGAACGAGCAGTTCTGAAGCTGTAGGATCTTTTGGTCTTTGAAAATATGTTGGACGACTTAGATAAAATCAAATAAACTAGAGCTTGAACTAGAACAAATAGACCAACTTTAATCAACATGCTACTATCAATCTCCATATTTTTTTTTTCTTCTTTGTGGGAAGGTTCTTGAAAAAATATATGAATTGGAAAGAGGGAAATTTAATAAATCAGAAGTGAAAGGAAAGATATGTTGAGGTAAAAGGGCATGTAGAAGGCGTATTTATATAGAGTTAGCCGACCTCTTTGACTTGGCTTTACCATTGACATTTAGGGAGGAAGCATCTCAAGGAAAAGGGTTGCATAGAAATTAGCTTTGAATTCAACTCGTGCCACGTGTGTTCTAGAGGTTAATTTACGTATTTCTCATGATTATTGACATTTCCAAGTAACGCATTTTGATTAATCTCATTGGATTCAACAAAGGAAAATAGAATTTTGAAACTTGTGATTAAATTAAGTCATGAATATTTGTATGGCTATAATTTATTTCTTCTGGTTCACAATAAGGGACTGTTTTATTTTTGGCGCATTCATTAAGGAAATATAAATTCCTGGAGAAAAAAAAGATGTATTTACTCAATTAACCTTAATTAATTGTTACCTTGACACATTGGAATACGTAAATAAGAGCAAGTTTTAAAAAAAATTAATTCCTTCTTGATTAAGTACATGAACAATTATTTTGGACCAAAATAAAAAGGTAAAATGGTCACTTATTGTGGACCGGAGGGAGTATCTAATTAAGAAAAAAAAGAAAAATATAAAATTAAATTATTTTTAAATATATAAATGGTCTTAGGTATTTGTCCTAATTTTCTTAACATATTTGATTTTTCTCCTTGATGGAAGGGCAACATATTAATCATAATTGATTTTACCTTTTTTTTTTAAATAATTCTTTCGTATTTGGCTAGTTCTTTTTCTTGGAGGAAAATGTTTTGAACTTCTATAAATTGAGGATCCTTTAATAGCATCCGCAATGTAGCCTTAATAAGGCGTGTGAGAGTCTTTTTACGAGGAGAATTTGTGCGACAAGTGTTAGCCTACCGCTTTGTATCTTTGTGTCTGCTTGTGGACGTAGGTCAACTGGCCGAACCATGTTAAATATATATATTTGTGTCTATTTTGGTATATATCTCTTTGATGTCTAATTTGTCATCGTTTAAGATTTGTTTTATTAGCTTTCGCATGACATTTGATTATTTCGATCGTAACAGATGTGTCATTCTTTTTGAACATGCTAAAAAAAAGAAGTGTGTCATACAAATCAAAATAGCAGAGTACTATATTTTTTTTTTTTAACTCCTTATCATCAGATAACATAGATGAATGATCCTTGGGTCTGTTTCAGACGTTCAGTCAGATTGAATAACAATAAACTGACTGGAACATTGGCACTATGGAATAAGCAAGTATAATAATCCTTTACCAGCATACAAGATACTTGACATAAAATATACAACTTTCGTTAATGATTAAATATGTTACTCCTCTACTATTTAGTTTACATGGCTTTTTCAGACCAAAAGAAATACTAATAAGAAAAAGGCTTATTACTCCTCTCCTTTTGGGCGGTTTGACCTATGTTGGATCACGTAGTACTAATTCTACCAATGTTTATCAAAATCAATCTCTAAAAAGACTGAAACTCTTGAACAAAAAATAAATAATAAAAGTGGTTGAAGGACAGGAACTATAAAGGAAAAAAAAGAAAGAAGTGTTATAAAATAAAGACCGTAAAGTAAAGACAAGTATAGAGAGAAACTGATATATTATTCGAATTCAAACTGATGTACATAATGAATGAAATCTCTTCTATTAATAGAAGAAAGGAAGCTGTTGTGTAAGCTGTTACTATACCAGATATGGATAATCTTCTACTGAGAGCAATGTTTATCCATAACGGAGTACTGAAAGGATAAGCTTATTATACCCGATATGGATAATCTTCTACCGAGGGTAGTGTTTATCCATAACTGGGTACTGAAAGGATAAACTTATTATACCCGGTATGGATAATTCTTCTACCGGGGTAATATTTATCCATAACTGGGTACTGAAAGGATAAGCTTATTATACCCGGTATGAATAATTCTTCTACCGGGGGTAATGTTTATCCATAACTGAGTACTGAAAGGATAAGCTTATTATATCCGGTATGGATAATTTTCTACCGGGGATAATGTTTATCCATAATCGGGTACCGAAGTGATAAGCTTCTTCAGGAAGCTTATTTCCAATAGAGTACTTAAATAGATAAACATATTTACGATGGAGTCCCATATGGATAAGCTTCTTCAGGAAGCTTATTTACAACGGAGTACTAAATGAACATCCATAATATAATATATTTATAACATTCCCCCTTGGATGTTCATTAAAAGATAATGTGCCTCATTAAAACCTTACTAGGAAAAACCACGTGGGGAAAAATCCCAGTGAAGGAAAAAGAGTATACATATTTAGTAATACGCATTGCTGGTTGCCTCATTAAAAATCTTTTAAGGAAAACCCTGTGGGAAAAACCTTAGTAAGGGAAAAAGAGTACAACGCGCATTTTACTCCCCCTGAAGAAAACCTTATTTCAAATATTTGAGTCTCCGCATTCCAATCTTGTATACCATATTCTCAAAAATTGATGTTGGTAAAGACAATCTGTTGGATTGTCACTTGAACTAATTTGATGCACATCAATGTCACAATTTTCCTGAAGATCATGTATGTAGAATAATTCTGGTGAAATGTTCTTCGTTCTATCTCCTTTTATAAATCCTCCCTTTAATAGTGCTATGCATGAAACATTGTCTCTGTATAATATTGTGGGTCTTTTATCACATTCCAACCCACATGTTTCTCGAATGAATCACTGATCTCAATCATATGCACTCCCTGCTTGCCGGTTTGAAATCGAGCTTTATGGGTATCGGATAAATAACCTGCATCTGCATTACCAATACGATCTGCACCACTTTTGTTAGCATTAGCAAGATAAATAAGTGCACCATCTACACCGAGATAGAGTATTTCAGGACCAAGAGCTCCTCATCCTCTTCTAGAGGTTGGAACGGATCGTTATTCACTTCAAGTGATTGAATATCCATTGGTGTACTTAATGGGTACATTTTGTCCATGTAAAAGCATTTTAAGACCCTCTTGGAGCTCTTCTGGAGTTCCAATTTATGTCACCAACATAAACAACAAGTGTAACAAATTCTGATGATATTTTCTTTATAAAAATACATGGACAAATAACATAATTTATGTAACTTTCTTTCAGCAAATATTTACTGAGGCGATTATACCACACACGCACAGATTGCTTTAAACCGTACAAAGATCTTTATAATTTGATCGAGTACATTTCTCAAGACTTTGAATTATATGCTTCAGGCATTTTCAATCCTTTAAGGATCTTCATATAGATTTAGTCAAATAAGTCATATAGGTTAAGACTTGTATCTAAATGGTATGACATCTTTCAAGTGTCTGGACTGCTAGTCCGATCCTCACAATCTTTTACAATATTGTGAACTATATTGTATTAAATATATCGTCGACGATCATTTTGTGTCAGTTCCGCAGCGACATAACTTGTGGAGATCTCATCACTTTCTTTATTTTCAGGTACCTGAACTTTTTCGGGAGTTTCATGAAATGTTATGTCGTGGACTCTTCTAGAGCTTATTTCCTCCTCATTATGATCATTTTTATCATTAGATCCTACTATTTTTCAAGGATTGTTACCTTTGGAACCGATTGGTCTACCACGCTTCATGCATACAGTAAACTCTATCCTTCAGGGATTTTAATTTTAATAGGAGCATTTGCAGCTGAAATATGGTATTTAATTTTGGATCAGCAAATGCTTCTAGCATTCAACTTGAATTATCTTTCAAGTGAGGATCATGATAATTCGATTTATATAGCATATTTTTCAACTGTTTATTCCATCCCCCAAATGTTAGAAAAACTAACATATATCCCCAATCATCTTTGGGAAACATATCTTTGTGTATTATGGTAGAGAAATTAATCATATACCACGCAACAAAAGATAGTAAAAATATTTGGTTTCTGATCCTAAACCAATTGTGA